GGCTATGTCTCGGAACTACCACGTAGTCAACCGCTGTTCGAGTCCCAGACCTGGTGGCTTAAACTCATGCCGGGTGTGTGTGTGCCTGCGTGCCCAAGATCCTGAGAGGAGAATGGAGGAGAAGGGATTGTGGCGTGGCCATCACCCCCAGGGGGTGATTTCTGGCTTTCTGTCTCTCTGTCTTGTCTGGCGAATGCAGCAAAAACCCTTCCAAAAAAAGAAAAAAAGAAAAAAAGAAAAAAAGAAATGAGGAGGGCATTGGGGGCCTTCTGACTGAGGATGGCCTCTACTCTGGGCCTTTGGAGCCACACTCTGAACCTCTCATCTGTAGTCTCACCTCTGCTCCTGTCCTCTACCGACTCTCATGCCTCCCTCCCTTCCCACCTGTACCCGCCTCTGGCCCTCCCCAGAGCCGAAACCTCCTGGGTGAATGAACTGAGACTCCACTGCCTTCGGGAAGTTAAAAGCAATGGGCAAAAATGGGTGTCATTAGTTAACTCATTTCCACAGGGAGCAGCAACATCAGAGCTTTTCCACGTTTTGCATATCCAGAACCCAGTTAAATTTTTATGGCAACGCTGCTATTACAAATTGGGGTGAGGATCCCCGATTTTCAGATGAGCTAATGCACGTAAATGCAGGCTAAATGACTTGCCCAACTTTATGGGGGAACCAGAACCGGAGCCAGAGCCCAGGTCTCTTGATTTCACATGCCACGCTGTTCCCTGAGCTGTGAGTCACCAACCTTGTCACAGCACCGCCTTCTTTCATGTTCCCGTGCTTTAACATTTTCTTTCTTGTTGTGAGTTTTCTCCCCCCTCGCCTTTTTGGATATAGGGAGTGTGAACTTACCAGAGAGAGAGAGAGAGAGAAAGAGAGAGAGAGAGAGAGAGAGAGAGAGAGAGAATGAGAAAGAAGACCCCCAGAAGGGATGGCTACACTGCAATTCTTTCTCCATTCTACTCTCGGGATTGTGGGTACTCACATATTTGTGCTGACCACTGGGTAGAGGAATAGAACCACGCATTTGGCCACGTGGGATGTAGCCATCTTAAAGCTCCATGCCATCTGGTGGTGCTTTTTCTCCTGGTCTACCTGGCCACTCAGAGGCTGAATGAATAAGTACAAATTGATGTTCTCCTATAGTGACACTTGAGGCGACCAGGGTTCATACTTAAGTGAAACATCTTCTAAGGAACAACTTGAACACTTTTGTTGATTTTTTTTTTTTTAGAGAGAGAGAAAGAGTTTTGCTATAGAGCGTGTGCACTCGCCAGAGAGACAGAAAGTGAGAAATCACCCCCCAGAGGGGATGGCCACGCCGCAATCCCTTCTCCTCCATTCTCCTCTTGAAATCTTGGGACCGCATGCACATGCGCCTCGTGTGAGTTTAAGCCACCGGGTCCAGGACTCGAACCGCAGTCAACTACATGGGAGTCCAGAGACATAGCCATTACGTCAACTGCTGGTCCCTTGACTTTTTACTTGAGGGTTTATACCTTGCGCTTCAGGTAGGAGGAGCTCACTGTGGCTTCTTTTTCCCAAAGCTCCATGTGCACTCACTGATTTTCACTGAGACCTGGAAGCTTGGTGCAGGGTGGCCACCACTGAAGACTGGTCCCTCACAGCTACGTCAGACAGTGTGGGAGAAGAGAGCGGAGGGGAGGGGATTCTGGGAACGGTGTGCTTGGCTTATCAGGACCCCTGCGGCTCCTGGAGGTGGGACGCGTCTGTGTGCACACATGTTCACGTGCATGCAGGTTCAGAGAGGTAGGAACATGGAGGCTGGTCACTCCCTCTTTCTACTTTTTGTCTTTCTAAGATTTTGCAGTGGGTGATGGGAGTGAGGATGAGGGAAGACCTGTAAGA